GTGGTACGTGTCAAAGTAACATCCACATGAATGGCAGGACCCAAGGTTTCCCAGCAGAACATAGCCCAAAGCACCACACTGCCTCCGCCAGCTTGCCTTCTTCCCATAGTGCATCCTGGTGCCATGTGTTCCCAAGTTAGCCATGCACACGCATCCGGCCATCCACAAGATGTAAAGTAAAACGTGATTCATAAGACCAGGCCACCTTCTTCCATTGGTCCGTGGTCCAGCTCTGATGCTCACCATTGTAGGCGCTTTCGGCAGTAGACGGGTCAACATGGGCACCCTGACTGGTCTGCAGCTACACAGCCCCATACGCAACAAACTGCTCTGCACTTTGTGTTCTGACACCTTTCTATCAAAACCAGCATTAACTGTTTCAGCAGTTTGAGCTACAATATCTCGTCTGTTGGATCTGACCAGCCGGGCCAGCCTTCGCTCCCCACGTGCTATTGTATCCCACCAACTGACAGGTGCCATGATAACCAGATAATCAGTGTTATTCACTTCACCTATCAGTGGTCATAATGTTATGGCTGATCGGTGTAGTACGGAGATGAGAAAAACTAGAAAGGAGGAAGGAGACAATCACAGGCTGATGGATTGATGAGTCCAGTGGAGGGACTTCACTGACCTGTCCCCATGTGTTTTTATGTTCTGTGGCGGATAGTAGTGACTTTTATTGAGTGTAAACAGTGGTGCCAATTTTGAAAACTGTACTGGGATTTTGTCAGAAAAATTAAAAAAAATTTAATTTAACTGGAAGGCCAGAGACAAAACGATTATCTGTGAAAGTGCATCCACATGTGTAGTTACAGGATCAATACTGTGTGCATTAATGCATGAACAGGACATGAGAATGTACAGGAAACATGTACTGTGCTTAATGTATTCAGGACATTTTACATTTGAGTAATCAATAGTCATGCTGCAGAGACAGAGAGTGGATTCCTCTGTTTGGAGAGTTACACTAATATTAGTTGGAACTAATCACTGAGTGTGTGTTCTGATCTGGGTGGACTAATTGATTGTTACAGGACATTAGCAAAGTCTCATCTCAGTGTGGCTGTAATGTGATGGGAGAGCCGACGACCTCGCTGTTATATAACATGTTATCAAGTAATAAGGAATCGTGGGAGAAGTAACCTGGAGGTAACTTATGGAACATCAAGACCTACATATTTTATATAGGGCAAGTTTTTCTTGTTGCAGAAAAATTGAAATCATACAAATGCGTTTGTAATAATTACAGGACAAATTATACAATTTTCAGCAAAAACAAACCAAAACCGTCTTCTTGTTTGATTTTCATATCACGGGGAACCCTGGTAGCTGACAGTAGAGCGCCTATATTCGAGGGACCAGCCCTTACCACAGGGTCAAATCCAACCTGTGACCCTTTGCTGGTTTCATCCCCCCTCCCCTTTTATGTCTGTCTTCAGCTGTATCAAATTAAAGTCCAAAACAATTATTTAAAAAAAAAGTACTTTAACAGAGTAAAACATGGATATTTAAGGCCGTTATAGGAATGTTGGCTTGAATTGGACCCTTTTATGAGAAGAACTGTCTCAAAATATTTCAGGGACTGGAACTAATGTGTGCAAACTGGAGAATGATGTGAGAGCTGATTGAATTTGTGGTTATTGTTACAACTGAAATATCTCCAATTCCTGGAGGACTGATTATTGATTGATTTGATGGGACAAAGCATATCATTTTCTACATTTTGGCAGGATGTGATGTCAGCAACAAGCTGTCTGTTTATGATATATTGTGAGTGAAGCTAACAACATCTTGGAGATAAATGGCTCTAAGATGGTTAAAAAAAGCAGCAGCAGGATGACAAATTGACAGTATATAAAAACTGACCCAGTTCATTGATAATATCACTTCGTCATTGGCGGTCTCCACAAGCTATTTCTGTCAATCTACCCCACCCTGTCAGTGATAATCTTTTAACCAGCAGCGCGGCCATCTTCGCTCTTTCAAAGGCATCCGCAGAAACTCTCATGAAGCTCAGCCAATGCTCCATAAACACTACATAGCCTGGAGACAGGTGAAGTTTTTGTTGCAGATTAAAAGTCCAAATCAGCAAGTTGTTTGAGCGGCGAGCCAAGAGAAGAGTGCGTGGAGGCCCGAGGCGCTGTGCTGCAATGAGTCAGAGAGGGGATGAGGAGCAGAGAGATACTGGAGGAGAGGAAGACAAACGATATGATTTAAAGAGGGCGGGGGGGGCGATTTAGGGCTGAGTTTAGGTAAGGAGGGGGCAGAGAGAGAAAGAATAAAAAGACTGAAAGGAGAAATATTTAGAAAAATGAGATTTAGAAGGAGACAATTTCACGTCGTAATCTAATGCAGACTTTCACAAAGACACGCATGCACAGTGTATATAAAAGGATTGACAATAAGATGATTATCTGAATTGATTAGAATGAATGAATGAGTGAATATAATATTCTGCTGCAAAATAAGGATCCAGAAATAGAGTAAATGTAGCACAGTTTTTAGGCTCTTTTTCTTGTTGTACTTTATGTTTTTGGTGCTCCTTCCTTTGACATGTCTCCTTTACTTATTCTTTAGTTAATGATGATTTCCTACGTTTGCCAGAATTTCTTCCCTGAAACCCAAAAATGCTCCCAGAAAGACACAATCTGTAGCTATATTTTTAACAGAACTAAGGTGGATTACACACTCAAACAAACTGTACACACAAATACACCATTTTTGTACATGAGATACTTGTGGCTGATAAAACAAGCATGATTATAATATCTGACACCGAAAGTACTTCATGCCATCACCAAAGCCCCTGCAGGAGACACTTTGTGTGGCACCGTTACTCCCTGAGATCATCACACCCACAAACATTTTGTAGATGAGCAGAGAAGTGGCCAAAGGGACTCACTTTTCCATTTGGCAGGTTGAGTGTGAACAAGCTGCCCCTGGCTGTCGCTGTCAGGTCAGTCATACTTTAGGTTGTGTGTGTTTTGTGTACCTGTCCATATGTGTGTGTGTTTGTGTGTGTGTGTGTGTGTGTGTGTGTGTGTGTGTGATAGTAGGGGCTAAACACATGAGCCTTGTTAGCGAAACAGAGGCACCAGTGTTTGAATTATTGATCAAGGGAGTGAATACCATCAACACTGTAAATTCAGCAAATGCACAGGGAGCAGACACGTGTTTATTCAAAGTGATGAGTTTGCCTGTGTGTGTGTGTGTGTGTGTGTGTGTGTGTGCAGGTGTGCATATGTGTGTATGAGTATAGGTGTGAATGTGTGTGTATGTGCATGTATGCGTGAGTTGGTTGTGAGAAAAAAAGGGAGTTGTCAACAGCTGTGGGAAGGAGGTTGTAATCGTCGAGTGTGTTTTCAGCTAATAGTCAAATAAGATATATAGATGAGTGAATGTGTGTGTGTGTGTGTGTGTGTGTGTGTGCGCGCGTGTGTATGTGTATGTGTGTGTGTGTGTATGTAATGCTGTCATTCCTTTGCATTTCTTGCATCCAAACACAACAAGCCCTGGGTCCAAACATGACCATATTGCAGGAAATCTTGCCCGTATGTCGTTCAGCAAAAATGCCGCTAGTCAAATACAGCTGAGTGGAATGTATCGCAGAGGACACACACAACAAAACACACATAAACACACAGAAGGGAGATGAGCCGCTTTGAATAAAAAATTTGTCTCAGCAAGCACAAACTGACTAAATTAAAAGCAGTAATTCAGGAAGCTGACTATAAAATGCATGAAAAACATGAATGAACATAGAATTCTGTGATTCAATTTTATGGGTGTATTGAAATCAAACCTCTCTCAAATTTAAGGTCACATGACACTAATAGTTTAACTTCATCTTAACAAAGGCAGTGGCTCCAGTTGTCTCATATTGGAACTACAACACCTGAATTTGCGAGTGCATGTGTTCAGGATCAAGCTCAAGGTTATGGCTCAAACAGCCCTGCTTCATGCTAACACACTGTAACAGTCATATTAAAACCTATAACCAATCAATAATGGTTTTACAATAGGAAACTATGAAATTTAAATTGAACATCAAGTTCAAAATCATCCCAAAACTGGAACATGTTCATATTCAAGTATGTGGAAATCACAACCATTATGACAAGTGTCACTATTACTCTGCTAAACTTATATTATTTTTTAGCAGCTCCTTAAACCACCACTACCTTCTCTCTATGTGTTTAGTTTTTGGTAGTGTAGATTTAACAAAGATTTCATGTTCATATATTTTTTTTTAAGGCAGGATTCATTCTCCCAGCGGATTCTTGGAAAGCTTTCTCAAAGAGCAGAGCTTTTCCTGCCAAATCTAACTGCATAACTAGCTGAACAGCCCTAGAAACGATGGAAACCAAAAACCAAAGAAATCCTATCAAGATGGCTGTAAAAGGTCACTGAATATTGATATGACTGCAAGTGATGATTTCTGGTTATGTCTATTAACCTCTGTTAACCCAAACTCCACCACATACCCAACAAATGTAGAATTACACACTACCATCTCTTTTCACACGTACATAACTGCCTCCTGGGATGAAGGGATGTACTGTAACTGAACTGCGTGCGTTTGTGTGTGTGTGTGGAGGGGGGGGTTCCAGCTGTTCAGGAAAACCCTCACAGGGGACCAACAATGCACATCTTGCTAACAGAGGATGTTTGTTGTCTCATTCACTGACAGACTGATGTTTCAGAATCCAGCTGTGCAGCTACTCCAGTGTCAACAATTAGTCAGCAATGTTTCCGCTTCTTTTCTGTCAACCATTTGTTTGGGATTCAAACAAGTACAACATATCAAAAATTGGTGAAGCAATGCAATTTCATCTAAATGTGTAACCTTGATTCAGCCTGGTCTATCACTGGAGAGCAAACTACATGTTGAGCACTAATTTACATTCGTGTGTGTGTGTGTGTGTGTGTGTGTGTGTGTGTGTGTGTGTGTGTGTGTGTGTGTGTGTGTGTGTGTGTGTGTGTGTGTTGTTCTCCAGGACACTGACAGACCTGCTGAAGCAGCAGGGAGGTGAGGCGAGCACGGTGGAAAACGCCACGGCCAGTTCGCCCAACGGAGGGAGAGCCAACGGCATATCGGCCAGGATGCTGCGCAGCAGGAGTGGTGAGTGCTGAGAGAGAGAGCACATACACATACATAATACACAGGTACCTCCGGGATAACGCAGTACACTCGCAGTACTACTATCTGCATTAGAAAATCTCTACAGGTTGGCGTGAGAAAAACACAGTGAAATTGTGTGTGTGTGGTCAGTCATAAAACACAACTTTAGAGGAGCTCAACAAATGCAGGTTGGGTTCAGCTTGTTTTGCATGTTTCTCTTTTTAACAGAGGAGTTTTGAATCTACAGTTAAGGCTAAAACATTTACCCAGGATCAACAAATTAACCATCTCATATATCCATCCATCCATTATCCACACCCATCTAATGCAGGGTTGCAGGGCCGTAGCAACCAGAGATATAGAAACATAGATACCACATTCTCAATTTGATGTGTGTCTGCATATTCGCCATATTGGGGAGGTCTGCAGGCTCCCTACTGAGAAATCCAGGAGGAAATTTGTCCAGCATTAATATCTCTAAAAAGACATCTTCTACTTCTACCCAAATAAACATTTCAGAATCTATAAAAAATATGCAGATTTCAGGTTTCTTAAAATATCCCCAAACTGCTGACATTGCTCCTCCTTCATGTTGGGTCTGATACTGGTATCAGTATTGGTGCATCTCTAATTTTAAATGTTATGTCTGGGATACATTATTGGTGCTGGCTGCCTAGACGTATTTTAGGCAGGGCTTAGGGAAGAATGCAGAGTGAACAATAGAACTCCTCATCTGTAAGTAGAACACATGCTTGTTGCACGTGCAAAACTGGTGCACCACACACACGCACGCACGCACGCACGCACGCACGCACGCACGCACGCACACACACACACACACACACACACACACACACACACACACACACACACACACAGACATTAACTGTTTAATTAGTATGTTAATGTAAGCAGGCTGCACCCCTATAGGCAGCATGTGGTGTTTTCCATACGTCCTCTATACGTGCAGATACAGCGGTCTGAATATAACATTTTGACCAGGTGCACGCCACTCTATAGTATCACATTGTTAAGAGTGTCATCAGATTTTTTAAGTTTGAACCGTTGTTCAATTTGATTGTGATTGTGTGAATGTGTGTCCCCATGTGTATGCATGCTTGTGTGCCTGCAGATGAACAAGCAAGCGTGCATGTGTGTGTGTGTGTGTGTGTGTGTGTGTGTGTGTGTGTGTGTGTGTGTGTGTGTGTGTGTGTGTGTGTCACAGGGAGAGAATGGGGTGGAGTGTGTGATATGAGAGCACGCCTGCAGCGTCTACCTCTGATCTCTTGCAATGTAGAATTTCACACACTGCTAATGACATGATACGACATACTCAATGTGAGGGACGCTTTAATCCAGAGTGTTTCATTGATCGTATTCACTTGAAAAAAGGGCAACACACAGACGAGCTGGAACTAACAATAAAAAAAGAGGAAAACAGATGTTTGTGGGCAAACCAGCCACACTGGCAGAAGCCTTATTATTTCATCTCCAAGTTGCTGAGTAAATGTTGTTTGTGGCCAGAGAGCACAGAGTAGGCCTACAGTTAGAAGTGCATGCGCAAGAAATCTATAAAGCTGTGATGGAGTGAATGGAAGAAGGGAGTTACAGCAGTTCAATTCACAGCATAACCTACGTGGCTGGTTTGTATTCATCAGATACTACAGAACTTGATGGCCCTGCAGTTATCAAATCATTAATATTTATGGACACATATCAGTTGATCTCAGTAGATAACATGATCTCTGCTGGCTGACTGTTGCTGAAATTATCTGCTTGTTATGCTCGGTTGGAAATCTGCAGTTTTGTGTCTTGGCAGCGTGACTGACTACTACTGCTGCTAGTCAAAATAAAATGCACACACACACCCATGTACAGTGGCTGTCCAACTAGTACTGTAAATGATGTATTATGTAATTTGGTAAGATTTATGCAGGTTGTCATTTGGATTTGGATCCCTTGAATGGCTTAATTTAGACAGTTTTTAGACTTGAAACAATACTTCACTACAATACATATCAATCATTGAAAATATAATTACATTACTTTAGTCACTCAACGGAAAAGTAATTACTTAGGCTACATTACATTTTACTTTTATTACTCAGCAGCACAGCTCCTTTATCATACATACATACATATATAAAATCTCACATATTCTGTATTTAACGTGTAGAAACACATAAAGGAAAAAGAGGTGTTGGGGTAGAGGTGGATTGCAAAACGGCTTGTAGAGGAAGCAGCAAAGATAGGCAGGCTAAAGCAGCTTAAATAAGGCGCCATGAATGATATTTGCCAATTGGATGCTTGAGGGAATCAGCTGAGCTGTCAGCTGACTGTGTGTTTACGACTAGCTGTGATCATATGATATAGCTGGAATTGAGAGCTGAGCCTGACTTCGTGGCCTGCCTGAACTAACGCTATGCTTAATTTTTGGCCCTCCAGGGGAAAATGCCTCTAGGTTTAGAACAGTGGAGTAAGCCAGCTTTTCAAGTATACCCTAACCCTAACCCTGACCTTAAGAACACACAATATACAATTACCTCAACTTTGGAGTTACTAGGAAATGCATTTTGGTAGAGGATAGCCACCTCCACACACCACTACAGCTCCTGCACCATCAATATGAATCGGACCACTCTGTCCTCTAATATGCAGGGACCAAACTGATATCCATCAAACTAATTACTTAATATCAAATTATAAATATCAGATTACCAGATATAGGGTGTTGCCAACCCTGGATTTAGATCATATCTCAGTGTGCTTTCTGTCCCCTCTCTCCTCTCCTTCTCTTCCCAAATAATTACTACATATTTCAATCAGTCCTACAGGCTGAGCTCACTCCTGCTGTTCCTCCTGTTGCTGCCTTCAAAAAGGTTTAAGTCTTAAGGAATTTTAAATCTCCCACTGCTGAGAACCACCAACTGCTTGGGGATTGACACAATCATCCAGCAGCCCCTGGAGGGCCAGACGTCCTACAACTACTGGATGTTTTTCAAGCACATGGTAGAGTCTTGCAAAGTAAACAGCATGTGGCAGAAAATACTGAGTGAATGAAAAAAAAATATAAGTAAGTAAATGTAGGTGCACGAGTTAGTCCACTTCTTAATGTCTGTCACAGTAATGAAAGGCAGTGAAATCAATGTTGATGATGATACCTATTGATGCTAATGTGTTCCATATTTATTATTAATTATTACACCTACTTCTTGCCAGTGGAGGAAAAACAAAAATCCTCATCGAATCACATCGCTGTCACTATGACAGGTAGTTTGGGAGAAAAAGTTAAGTTCGAACTCAGAACTTTGCCTGAAGACTGGCTTACAACACGTCACCTAAGCTGTCTACACATGTATTCTCTTTGGTTGTAACATGATTTTAAGAAACAGGTTGACATTTGAGGGTTGACACGTCAGCGCTTCACATCATGAATCACCTCCCTCTGTCCCAGATCTTCATTCTCTGTTCACCCTAATATACTTGTTTCTGAACTGTGCAGGAGTCGTAGGAATCTCTTTGCTTTATTTGTGCCTTGAAGATACTGTGAATTTAAGCTGGCACACACTGTATGAAAATACAAAATGTAACAAAATATGTTCCCTAATTGAACCACGGGACAAAGTGGAACACTACATAGATTGCCTGGGCAAAAAACAGATGAACGGTATTGGTTTTTCCACAGTAGACAAGATGGCAGACAGAGGCCTTCGGAAAAAGTAATGCTCATTACACACACAGTAATTGAACACATTTGAACTTACTGGGTGCAAGTGTTAAAAGGCCTGCTGCCATTTTCTCTGGGGCTGACATTCACTTTAAAGTGAGAATGTCACACCAGTGTCTTCCTCTCACAAATGAAAAGTTGAATTCATAAGCATAAATTACACGCTTAATTCAATACACTCAGGGGTTTTGCTGCTACGACTGTTAGCTGATGTTGGCAAACTTTAAATGTCTATTGGTGTGTAATTGACATTACTCAGTCAGTTTGACGACTTTGTGAATCTCTTATTTATGATTTAGCACACATTATCCTATTAGATGTTATAGTGGTAATACTGGAACAAAGTTACATAGGCTCGCTAGAAAGACACAGAAATTAAATGAATAATACATTTTCCACCTTGTAATCCTGTCTCCCCATGTTGATTATTCATTTATCTCATTTATCATCAGGCTACCTTCAAATGCTTTCACATTCACAATTCACAATAATACGGAGGTCACCTCCCACGATGACTTGTGGAGCCTTCAAATTCAACGCAAGAGGGGTGATTATTTCTGCCGCTCGGGACAATGCATCAAGCATAAACCTAGCTTTATCGTCCTCCTCATGATCTTCTAATCATCCGAGGCATTTGATTTAAATTCCTCTGGTAAATATACCCCACCCACATATTCTGTTACTCTTAGAAGACTTTCTAACTTCTGTTTCACTGTGACTTTAAATTTTAGAAATGTCAAAAAGTCAGAAGCTTTAAAGTCAGAGACAGTTTTTGAGATTTACATGAACCATCAGCAGTTGATGTTAACTGAGGACAGGAGGCAAATATTTAGTCTCCAACAAACATGACTCATTGCAGAAAGAAAGCTTGAAGCAAAAAGGCGATGACCTATTTATCAAAGACGACTGCAGAAGTACTGTAGCATGACCCAGTAACAAATCACTCTTCCTAACACAAATTTCACCTTTTCTTCTCTCACTTTTTTTCTTCTACCCTAGCTGTCAGAGGAGTTGCTTTATGAGTGCTTGTCTCCTCCAAAATGTTTTCATGCACTCTTAACTCTTCCCTGGGGTCATGAGAGGCAAACTACTTATTCTTGTAAATTAATGATCTCAGGATGAATCTTTGCTCCCCTGCTCGTGTCATGTTGATTATTCTGACAAAAGGCATGTGTACGACCAACTCAGCAGATCGCACAGAGCGCGGATTATAAAGCGCGAGGGGGTGGGAGAGGGTTGTGTTTGTCTGCTTTGACTCTGCTGCAGATGGTAA